CTAATCAGAAGGCAACTGGTTACCTGGACAACAACCATGTCACTATTTTGTAGATTGGCACCTCTTGCTCAGTAGGTTGATCTCTGTGGTTCATAGGGTTTATGACTGGGTAAGATCACCGATGCCTTTACTCCCCTATCATCCCGCAAAAGACCTTCTAGCACTTTAAAAGCCAGTCAGCAGGGAGAAAGTGGCCAGCTCAGTTCCAGCTTGTTTTCTCAGCATCTTGCAATTGAGGTACAATACAATCCAATCCTCCAGTTCTGGTGGGCAACCAAGAGGACCAACAAAAGCCTACATTGTTTGGGGGGAGTTTCTGGGACCTCACAAACCAACTCCTACGGGGGTCTCCCACACCACTTAAATGGAAGAGAGAAGTAGAAGGAAATCCATTAAAATAAAAATACATATTTTGATTCATGAATGTTCAATTGACTTCCCTGGAAGGCAAGAGTGATCAAATGTGTGCAGTTACTGCACATGGCACAGCAAGAGTGCACAGACACTCTACACTGAAGACTCAAAAGCCACCAGGGGCCTTGCTAGTAGTCACATTAAGCTTCAAAGGGGCAAAAGGCTTACTTGTGGTGGGGGAAGATGTATAATCTTTTGATTTACATGGTCATGCATTCTTAGAAAAGTCAGTAACAGCCAAGATCCTACTCACATTGTTCTTTCCCAAGCTACTGGAGCCAACATTTTCTCTATACCTTTAGAGGCATTTTTAGAAGCATTCAGCTCCACCTTGGACCTATTCCATAGATTCTGATGGTTTCATTGTCGTTTTGCTGGATAAACTGAAATTTCATTTTATTTCTTGTGGTTAGTTTTATCAACTTGACATAAACCTAGACATCTGAGAAGGAATCAAAACTGAGGAATTTCCTCCATCAGCTTGTCCCTTGGGCATGTCTATGGGCATTTTGTTTAAATGATTTATGTGGGAGGGCCCAGCCCGATATGGGCAGTGACACTCCTGAGCAGATTATCCTGTGTGGCCCAAGAAAGCAACTTAACAAGCCATGAAGAGCAAACCAGTAATCAGTACTTTTCCATGGTGTCTGCCTCAGTTCTTGCCCCCAGATTCCTGCTTGAGGTCCTTCTGCCCTGACTTTTCTCAATGATGGACTGTGATGTGGATGTGTGAGCTCAATAAACCCATTCCTCCCAAAGTTGTTTTTGTTCAGGCTGTTTATCACAGCAACAGAAAGCAAACATCTTTGAGATTTCATCTTATCCCAGTTAGAATGGCTAAGAGAAAACAGATGCTGGAGAGGAGGTGAGGACCCTTATTCATTTTTAGCGGAACTGCACACTGGTGCAGTCACTACAGAAAGCACTGTGGGGAATTCTCAAAAAGCTAAATCTATCAAATGGTACAGCTATACCACACCATGTCATATGCCCAAAGACTCAACAGCATACTCCACAGACACACGTTTAGCTGTGTTCTTGCTGTTCTATTCCCAATAGCTAGGGAATGGAAACAAGCTGAATGCCCTTCAGCTGATGAATGGATAAGGAAAATGTAGTACATTATACACTACCAAGTACTGGTCACCTGTCAAGAAAAGGGCAATCATGAAGGTTGCAGATAGTGGGATGGAACTAGAAAGTATGACATGGAGTGAAGGAACCCAGGTCTAGAAAGTCTCACACTGAATATTCTCTCTCATCTGAGGTTCCTAACTACACCTGGAGTAACAGCAGAAACCAGGAAAGTGAAAAGAGGGCCATGGGGTTGGGGTAGGAAAGGAGCTCTAGAAAGAGGTATAGGAGGATAGAGTTGATATGGAAATGGGGAAAATGTGGACCGAGCTTTAACTGGAGAATGTAGCACAAATTCTAATTGTTCGTAATAATAAAAACCCAGAGTCAGATATTGGGGAGGGGGGCTGAAAGATCAGAGAAGCAAAGTGGTCAGCCATTAGAGATTTCTTACCAAAAGGGCAATCCTGTCCTCATACTACCTCCTCAGACTGCTGCCTCAGACTGTCATGAGCTCTGGTCTCCTCCAGATTTATATTCCTTTCTTGGCCCAGACATATCCCTTCCTGCCTCTACCTCCTTAGTGCTGGGACTAAAGGCATGTGATCCCAAGTGCTTGGATCAAAGGTGTGAGCTCTGTTTCTCTTTTAGACCAGATCAATTTTGTATAGCCCAGGGTGGACTTGAACAAACAGAGATCTGTCTGCCTTTATCTCCCAAGTGCGAGTGCTGGGATTAAAGGTGTGTTCCCCAACTGCCTGGCCTCTGTGGCTAACTAGTGTGACTAGCTTTGCACGCTGACCTACAGGCAAGCTTTATTTGCTAGATCATAAGCAAAATATCACCACAGGGGAGGAGAATACAGAAGGAAAAGGGGTGAGGAGGCATATATAAATAACACTAAGGATGTTTGCAAGTGTCATGAAGCAGTGATTCTCAGCCTTCCTACTGTTTCAACCCTTTAGCACAGTTTCTCCTGTTGTGATGATCACCAACCATAAAATTATTTTCATTGCTACTCTATAACTGTAACTTTGCTACTGTTATAAATCATAATGTAAACACCTATGTTTTTCAATAATCTTAGCTGACCCTTGTGAAAAGGTTTGTTTACCCCCCACCTCCCCAGGGTTGTGACCTGTATGTTGAGAACCAGTGCCAGAGAGCGTCACATTTCTTTATATTTACCTAAAATTACATGTAATACATGTAAGTCTTAACTTCATTTTACTTATCATCTTTATACTCACATCTTTATACTCTCAATTATAAAGCTTCTCTTTGCAACAGGCAGAGAACAATATAGAAACCACAACTGGTCACAAAGAATGACAGACCATGGGGTGCCCAGCCTCGGTTGATACATCTACAACACAATCCCTATACTTAAGGCTCAGGCAACATTTTGGAAGTGGGGGAGGGGGGCTGTAAGAGTCAGAGGACCGAGAAAACTACTGATATTGTGCCTTCTAGAAATGATGGGGGGATGGGCTGGAGAGATGGCTCAGAGGTTAAGAGCACTGGCTGCTCTTCCAGAGGTCCTGAGTTCAGTTCCCAGTAACCACATGGTGACTCACAACCATCTGTAATGAGATTTGGTGCCCTCTTCTGACATGCAGGCATACATGAAGGCAGAATGTTGTTTACATAATAAATAAATCATTTTAAAAAAAGAAATGATGGGGAAGCTACACCTATGAAATTTCAATAGTATCGTTACCTAAACAAAACCTAAACAATGACACTACCAAGTGACATGACAGCATGTATGGGGGGGCGGATCTCATGGGGCTCTACCCTAGATGAAGTCATATAATGACTGGTGAGAGAGGGAGAAAACACCTTCTGCAGCGATAAGCATCCCAACTGGATAGCTAATACCAACTGGTCAGTCCTGAAACCATATACACACAAGCAACACTAAACAGACTCAGCAGGTTGTATGTATATATGCATGTATGTATGTTTTGTGTGTGCCTGTGTAAAACAATAATGAAAGCAAAGGTGCTGGGGATTTGAAAGAGTGTGAGAGCATTAGATGAATGAGAGAAAGCTGGGGGGGGTGTTTATATTTTAAATCAAAATAAAAGAAATCCAGCTTAGCCAGGTATGGTGACATAGGCATGGTGATACACCTTTAAGCCCAGCACTCTGGATAGGAAGAATGGATGGGGGAGTATGGACTTATACTTTGTGTACATGTGTTTAACTCGGGTGTGTCTCCTAGCTCCAATGCAGGAGAGGGGCATGAGATAGATAGTATCTCCCACAGCATATGGCACATCACACAGGCCTTCTGTGACGAATACAACTCAGACAGGCGGTGGTTATACAGGCATACAGGTGGATGGTATGCAAAATAGCTTCTGATTTCCAGGACTTTAAGCATTAGGTAAGAAGGGTAGCAGAAGAAAGGGTGCTGAATCAACGAGGGGCATGTCTTTCAAATCGTTATTGATTATATTACGCCAGAGCCGGCGGCTTAAAAATGTGATTTGCTCCCTACTAAGAATTACTCTTTAAGTACGATGTACAATGTGTTGTGTGGTAGAATGCAATGGAGCTTCCCCAATAATAAAGCTTATTGTAGAAATTACTTACTATGACTTATGAGTTTATTACTTAGGGTGATGAAGAATACTGACCTATGATTAAACTGTGATGTGGTAACCACCACCGTCAAACACAAGTCACCATCATTGAGTGTCCATTCCTCGTTTCTAAGTACTCTTACACAGATTCTGCTACTTCACACTCACAGCAAACCTAGGAGATATTTACTGTTATTATCCACATCTTCCTGGTAAGAAAGGATGATGAGATAATCAATTTACCCCCCCCCCAAGGTCTCAAAGCTGGTAACAGTCAAGCAAGAACTTTAGATTCATGGCTGGGGATGTAAAAGCAGTGGTAGTTATCTGTATGGCTAGCATATAAAAGGCCCCAAGTTTAATGCCGACCTACAAAAATCAATTGATCAATCAATCAATCTTGGCTTCAAACACCAGACTCTTAACTGCTGTATCATTAAATCTCCCTGTGGAAGCAGGGCTGGGCTAGCTCAATGACTGAAGCAAGGCCAGTATTAATTGGTACTCCATAAACTCCATAAAGCAGAAGGCAGTTTGTTCTCCTAGACCCAGCTGATAAGGTCAGTTTCCTGTAACTGGATCAAGAGGAGGAAGAAGCATCTCGATTCCCAATGGGGAAGGGAAAGATGGGCATTCTCAACACGCTGCTTTAGACCACCCATTCCCATTCTCCTTCTGCACATCTTCAAACTGCTATACTTACAGACCAAGACTAGCTAGTTCCATCTGTTCAATAATCTTGATGAAAGTATTATTTGAAAAGAAATATAACATTCAATTTTAGGCATGGAAAGATCAAATAAATTACATCATAGTGAAGGAAGGAATCTGTTCCACTGTGGAAAAAGCAACATAGGGTAGGGTAGAACAATTACAGCGTACTCAAGTGCTAAACAACTTTTGAGCAGATATATTGTTTGAAGATACTTTATTAAGATAAAAAACTTTCCATTACATTTATCTATAAATTCATTGTAGACCAAAGGAAAATAAATAAAAATCTGTATCTTAGGGACATTTTGACTCCATAGTTTTGTAAATCTGAGTTTACATGTTTTCTCATTTTAAATTACTACAGCTTAGGTACACTCAATGATTATAGTACCAGGGATGTCAGCCTTATGGACACCAAGTTTCCATATTACTCGGGGAGAACATGGTTATTGTTTCAATTTTATCTCTTTACTTTCAGGCCACTCTAACTGGGAGGTGGACAAGGAAAACAGCATTCCACACTAAGTTCAGTTCTAACTGTACAGACAAACACTGAAACACAGCTTTTCTCCCCAATAGTGGCTGACACTCCATCCCAGGAACAGGCTGCTGGAAGCTAGGAACAAAGAGTTCTTCTCCTTGGTGCTAGGAGGAGCACTGAGGTCAGAGAGCAGAGACAGGCCTCTTGCTGCAGGTATCAACAAATAGTTCTTTGTTGGCCTGGCTTATTACAGTTTAATTCAATCTCTTTGTAAGCATCTAAGAACATTAAGGCTACATGTCACCTTAAGCTGCTTTTATTTCCATTCTTTTAAAAGAAATACTGTTTGTTTCTGGTCTAAAAGGTGCAGACATTTATATTTTCATAACATTTCATCACCCCTACCACCTATAAGGACTCAAAAATTCCACTGTACTATACAAGCTCTACCCCAAAATAAGAATAGAGACAACAATCCCCAGATGAAGAAAAACAGTCAACAAAGATATCTCAGAGTAAGGAACATGGGCTACCTAAAGTATTCACAGACTGTCCTATGCTGGTATACATTCCTCATTATTCTTGGTATAGAAACTTGCTTTATGAGAAGTTCAGGCATTGCCCAAGGGATGGACTATTCCACCTAAACCAACTACTTAAGACTTGTGCTTCTAGACAGGCTACACAGGTCATTGGTTTCAGAATAGGAATATGCTAGCCATCCTATCTGTGTTTAAACTGCATGACTTTTTAATTCATAAACACAGAACTTACAAAGATTGTTCATTAGTCCAATGATCTGGCTGCTGGGTGTGAATGAATAATGAGGTCACTAGAACAGTTTCTGTTTCTGCTTCTCACAGTAATTTGACATGTCTTAAGGAAAGCTAGCAATGGAGACTACCAAACAGCAGTGAACAAGTAACATGCATGTGGGCCTATCTGCTAAAAGGTCAAATATTTACATGGAATGTTGACCTTGTTTATAAAACTACTACTTTAAATTATATCTTTACATACAAGTTTATTTTATGAATAGCCTTATTTGATAACTAAAAAAATATGCCCTTCAAATATTTCACAAATATAAAAAATTTCCCTACATTTTATTTTTCTTTAAACATGATGTTTAAACTCTATACAAAGCAACAAAAATAATTTTTGTATGAAAGTCTTAGATGTGATGATTTTTCCATTGGCTGAATCACACTATTCACAAGAGCTCTCTGAACATTTGTAATATTGTGAATTATTGACTTGCTGGAGACCCATAGCATCAAAAAAAAAAAAAAAAAAAAAGGAGAAAAATCATCTAAACATTTAAAAATCCATCTTCCTTCAGAATAGGTTAAGATGGAATCTGGCCAATGTCAATCATTTTGGTGACAAAGAACTTAACACAATCTAAGGTTTCTAAAACACACACCAGCACAATTTAAATGTGTGGTGATTGCACAATACAAAAACATGATCACTTTTTCCTTAACTGTACTCTAACATGTGTGTTATACATTTGAGAATACTCATCTCATTCTTGTAACTCAAGAAGTTGCAAAGCAAGAGAAGAAAACATTTTGACTCCAGCAATGTCTTCTGAAAAGTAACAGATTAAAAAAGTGCTTTGTGATCACTGCTTGCCCTAAGACACCACCATTCTTACTAAACCACGAGGAAAGGGTTTTGTCTACATCTATAATAATTATTTAAATCTATTTCCAGGCCTGTTAATTGGGAGGCTGAGGCAAAGGAGGGTTGAGTTCAAGGCCAGTGTAGATCTTCAACTTAATAAAATATCTGATTTTCCTTTATAGAATTATCTGCAACATTCCTGATATGTACTCCATGCTGTCAACTGCAAGCATGCAAAGTGAAGGGCAGTGAGCACAGGGGAGGCATGAACTCTGATATACACTGCCCCTCACAACACAGGCAGAACTAAAGATAACCAGGAAATTCAAAGTTTTGCTAAGAATATAGCACAGTGCAGATTTTGACTTTTCAGATTTTACAGTCATATGCTTCAAATAAGGCTATAAAAGATATAACCAAAACAACATTAAACTTTTATGAAGACTTTACATCTATGACAGTGATATACATTTTTAAAAATCCTACCAAAAATATGGTAGCTGACCTAACCATGCACTCTGTAAAAAAGACAATTAAGGACATTTTCCTGAGTTATGAATGCAACCAGCTCACGGGCACCCAATGGGTATCAGTCTCTAGTTTGTCAAATGTTGTTTTTAGCTCATTAAATGCCACAGTGAGATCATCATTTATTATGATTTTGTCAAAAAGATGGCCATATTGACTTTCCATTATCTGTGCTGATTTAATCATTTCTTGAAAGTCTTCTTCCTATAAAAACAAGTATTAACAAAAATTAAGTAACCAGACAATTGCATCATTTCATACCAACAGAAATATTTTACAAAGACTTTACTTAAATTAGACTGTGATGTGTTCAGACTTTAAGCCACACCAAAAATAAAATCATCTTCCCTATCACGACTTTTTCAGGGTTTTAACTGCTAACATCAGCTATAACTGGACTCTCTTCAGGGTCATCACTAACACACAATTACATGGACATATCACTAATTAGCATAGACATCAGGGCAGCTGTTGACTCAGCATACACACATAATATCATACTTTTGTTGTTGATGCTTTTTCCTAGGTTCATTTGGTGGCATTGGGAGTGAAGCCAGAGCTTGTGCATGCTAGGAAGCACTGAAACAGTGGTTAATACTACTGTTGAAGTTATTGGTTGGAGACACAGAGCCTTGCTGTAGACCACATTGGTCCCAAAAATGCCAGGCAGAAGAGAATGACCTCTAACTCTCCATTCTACCCCAGCATCTTGAGTGCTGCTGTGGATTATAGAAGTGCATTACCATAACCAGCTCTACAAAGTAGAATACTGATTCATAAAAATAAGAATTTACAATACCATTGTTCAAAATGCAGACTAAAGCACAACTACCTTTTGAGAATTCTGTATCACAACTTCATCTGTAAAAGTGTCCCTACATACTGTGTGCAAGCATTCCAATGCTGCTTACATGATGGCTAAGCATCATGACACCCACCGTGAAGGGCTTTGCGGTCCCTTGGTCATCTCTGCTTGAAATAATCTTTGCATTTTTCCTCGTCTCTCTCAAACGCTCTATGGATGGAGGTTTTATAAATATCACGTAGGGTTTGAACTCCAGGGTCCTTAAGTGCTTCACTGTCTGCAACAGAGAAAAGATTTTCTTTTCATATTTCTTCATAATCTCATGCATTCTGGATTTTCTAAGGAGAAAATTTCTTACAATCTTTCTTTAATGTCAGAAGGTTATTATTCAATCAGTTCCTGACAATTAAGGTGACAATCTCACTGAAAAGCAGCTAGAGAAGGCAGCTTTTACTTTAAGGGTTTTGAAATTAACCATCGCTTATATAGAACACAGTGGCTATAAACACCAGAAAACTAGGTTCTAGACCAAGCTTCTTTTAAAAAGATGTGATGAGGTTGGTATCTTCCTGTCTGAAAGCTGTCCATTTCTTTCTCATTCTCTCTGCCGGAGTCTATGCAGTCTCTGTTCTCCATGAGGTCGGCCAGCACCCCATCTCCAATCAAGTGTCTTGTTTTGTTTGGAGACAGGGTCCTGCAGCCTGGGACTACATAAGACTGCATAAGAGCCTGCCTGGGACTCCTAATACTCTGGCCTCAATTTCCTGGGTGCTGAATTATAGGAATGTACCAACACACATGGGTTGTTTTTATTTTTCACATTTTTGTTCTTCTTTCATACAATACATCCAAACTATGGTTTCCCTTCCCAGCACCCCTACCTCCCCTCTCTCCCAAATCTACTCCTACTTCACTTCCCTTGAGAAAAAACAAACAAACAAACAAACAAACAAACAAACAAACAAAACAGGCCTCCCAGCAATATCAACTGAGCACAGCATAAAAAGATGCAATAAGACTAGGTACAAACCCTCATATCAAGGCTGGGGCAAGGCAACCCAGCAGAAGGAAAAGGGCCCTAAGAGCAGGCAAAGGAGTCAGAGATAATACCCACTCCCACTGTTAGGAGTCCCACAAGAACACTGAGCTACATAATGATAATATAAATGCAGAGAACCTAGCACAGACCTATGCAGGCTCTGTGAAACAGTAGTTTCAGTCTCTGAGTCCTGCTTACTTGATTCTGTGGGCTATGTTCTACTGGCATCCTTTGATCCTACAATTGGCTCCTACTATTCACACCTAGGTTTTTAAGTGTTGACTCCTGCAGATTGAACTCTAGTCAAGGGTAGACTTGTTGTCAACAGGGTCAGTTACCCTTGAGAGATATTATTGATCACTACATGAGGGCCTCCCAGAGTCTGGATCCTTCATAAGCCCCACTGTGAGGTTAAGTAGACAGAGGCCATGTATTAAATATATAGAGAGAGGGATGGTGAGGATGAGGGGAGGATGGGAGAGTTGGGAAGGCACAAAGGTGCAGCAGAAAATGCACTGAATAGGTCTGGGAGTAACCAGCTCCAGGACACAGGCAGGGAGCTGAGAGCAAGCAGGGATGCCCCACTTCTTCCTGGTTGCCTGGATGGAAGGCAGCCTCCAAGTTGATGCTAAAGATTCTCTAATTCCAGCTTCTTAATCCCTAATAGGTGTGGAAGTCCTTCTGTAATTGGAAGGCTAAGCATGCCAGAGTACCACCATCATTAGAAGGAGAATTTTTGGCTCCAGGAGGACTAAGGTAATGTTGGGCTTGGGTACCAATCAGAGGATGAGGAGTATGACATAAGGAACTGAATGTTTTCACTCACTGGCCTTAGTTCAAAGTGCCCACAAGAGGCCCCTAGGTGATACACAAGATCTCTTTCTGGCATCTCAGACAAGACATTATACTGAACAGTGCCTCATAGCTCTGCTGGGCTTTAAATGCCTACATTGTGTACAAGATCAAATTAGAGCAAGAGAATGATGATCTAAAGTGCCAATGTCAGATTATAAACAACGGGAATAAGGCATAACACAAGCATGTTATGTATGCAACATTTTTAAAAGATTCTAAGAAAACATGTAATAGCCAGCAAACTTGACTGAATAAAAACAAGAGATGTAAACACTGACCCTGGGCTTTCTTCCCTTCTTATTTTCTAATAACATTATGCCTTTACTTTTCTTAACCAGCCTACATTTAAATGAGGAGACTTCACATGCCGCAGGAGGCTCACAGGGAATGGCACACTTTGTTTACTTACATGAGGCTGGACATCCAGCAGACAAACTTTGTTCTTAGCTAGGACAGAACGAACTGAGTCTATACTTGTACCATAGTAGTTGTTTTTATATTCACCATATTCAATGAACCTGTAGAGAATTAGACACTCATTAGAATGGTTTGTGAATATGAAAAAAGCAGGCGGCAAGTTATACTTCATAAGCAAAAGATATTTTTGCTGAACATGTAAAAATTTTTTTGCTGTATTTAATAAAATAAACAGAGCCAAGCATTTCAGCAAATGTCAATTTAAAAAACGTCTCCAACATTTTCAAATCAGTAACACTTGCTTGTATTACACTTAAGCCCAAAAAAGTACTTTGGTTCAGTAAAGCGCTAACGTTTTCCATCACCCCCTTTCAGAACTAATGCAATGCAATAAAACAGCGAATAAGCCAAACAATAGAAACTACTGGAATTTCACTGCACATACAGAGTAACAGAGCTGGGCACTGAAGCCACAGGAGCTGGGAGGTGGCTAATGGAACTAGGGCAGCGATTATGTGCTATAAAAACACAGTCATAGGGCCAAACTTGAAGAAAGCATTTTGATGTTTCAATAAAATCCCACAATACTGCGTGAAAACACACCCTACTTCTGACGCCCTGAGTAGCCACACCTCAGCAATGGAAAACTGGGGGAGGGTGGAGTAGGAGCTGGCTGGAGGAGATGGTGTGTGCAACACGGCAGCTTTATTCCAATGTTGCAAAGTGCCGATGTGAACTAAGGTGTGTATGAAGATGATTATGGGGCAAGCATGTCATATAGCTAGCCATTCATTTTAAAAATAAGTCCTATCCCAGTTACATGTTGACATTAAATTACTGAGCTGGAAAAAAAAGTCACAGAAACATACTGGGAAGTTTCCCTCATGCTTCAAAATAATTCCTATGGGTTTAGTTGAAATGTGTTAGCTCCTGAGTAAAGAAGAAAAGAAGAAAGAAAAAAGGAAAAATTAGATGTGAACATAGGTAATTACTAACTGAACTACCACTTTTTAAGGGCTTCAAATATTACTGTAATAAGTGAAATTCATTTCAAATAGAAGGGAACCCTAGGCTATTTAAACCTGGATATACAGGCACCAGCTTAAGAACAATGGTAATGAGGAAAAAAATTCAACAAAATTTTCACATACTTGTTATTTTGAACATCTGTCTCAAACAAATGCTTGGAAATAAAAATATATTCCACACCATCACTCTCTTGGCTTCTTCTTGCTCTAGTGGTGTCTGTGATTGGATAGAAAAGGAGTTGAGAAACATTCACATCAGCTACCTTAAAGTATTATAAATAAATCAAGTACATTAAATTAGTTTACTACACGAGATTTAAAAACATAGAGGGGGGAAAAAGTGAATTAGCCACTAACACACAGTGAAGTATAAATTGAGACTTGTTCAGTGTTGTTACAAATAAGACTGAAGATCTAATGGCACCATGGGTCTGCTCATTACTCATGCCTTTGAAGAATCTTTACTACGAGAAAATACATAAAAGTAGCCCTATGTGTAGAGTTTAACCCACCCCCCAGGAAATTGCCTTTCTTTTGCAAATAACTTGCTTATTTTGTTGAGTACTGATCTTTCTTTGCTAAAGCAAGCATACTTGCTCACTGGGTGGAAGGTAGAATCTTCTTCACAATGCACAGCAAGTACCTTCAGTGTTCTGTTTTACTAACTGGATGACATCAAATACCTCCATGTGTTTTTTACCACGTCACTAACAACAGCATCTTGCAACCTTTTGACAATGTTGCCTACTTATTTTTGTGTGAATTACAAAGGAACAGAAAATATAGGCTGATGGAAAAACAATGACAAAACACAATGCTGTCCAGTGTGGACACACACATGAAACCCCACTGCAGCCTTACACTTCCTGCTCTTACAATCAAAAGCTCTGGACACCTGACAATGACCTGAGACTCTTAACACTACACAAAACAGGAAGGATGCAGAAGGCCGAGACTCTGCTTGAGGGCATGGCATACTGGTGACAAGGCAGGGGCTAGGTTTCTTCTGTAGATAGTTAGGGGAAATGGCTATGCAGCTAATTACAAATGTTACCCTGAAAACACATGTTGGACTTTAAAAATGTCAGAGTTGAAAGAGTGAGGTAGGGAATTGTCAAGGAAGAGAAATAAGAGGGCCTGTTGCTGAGTATGAGACAGCCAAGCTGAGCAGGAAAAAGAAAGAACAAGGGCTCTAGGCAGCAAGGCCAATGATGCCAGGCTCTCTGTCGGTCTGTCGGTCTGTCTGTCTGTCTGTCTGTCTGTCTGTCTGTCTGTCTGTCTGTCTGTCTGTCTGTCTGTCTGTCTGTCTGTCTGTCTGTCTGTCTGTCTGTCTGTCTGTCTGTCTGTCTGTCTGTCTGTCTGTCTGTCTGTCTGTCTGTCTGTCTGTCTGTCTGTCTGTCTGTCTGTCTGTCTGTCTGTCTGTCTGTCTGTCTGTCCATCCGTCCATCCATCCATCCATGCCCCATGAAGCCCTGGGGACCCTACACAAGATACTGATGATTCTCACATAATCATGCTTCTAGGGACTATAAATGTAACTGACCACACTCTGGGGAAAGATGGCTTTTAATGAAGGAGGTTCCCCTATTCTAGATAAGAGACAACCCCAGATCACCCATGGAGAAGGAGCTAGATATGAGACAGTTAAGAAAGACTGAGGCTACAACTTGGTAGCTGTGTTAAGGTAATACCTGGTGGTGAAATACAAGCTGGGCACATAAACACTGAGAACAAAGAACAGTGTGACAGTGGCCATTCAAACCCTGATTGGATAGTACACAGTCAAGATCATGCCTAACAAGGCAGAAATAAGAGATTGGTGGAGAGGGGCTTCAGCTACCCCTAACTGGATGAGCAGCCTGTAAGAAAGCCTAATTATGGACCTGGCTGGACTAGGGGACACACACAGAACACATGGGCCCTCCAGTAGCTTTGACTCAAATGTGCTCAAAAAATTAACCAATCTCAATGGAAGTCATGTCAGTGTTTGTTCCTGCTGTAGTCTATGAAAAGCCCTAGGCAAGCAGCTCCAAGGTTTCTCCTGCCTTGGAACCTCTGGGACTCATGGGGATTTCTCTCATTTTTCCTTAATTTTTCTAAGCAAAGGCGGCTTTCATTCTACTCCATTTGTCTGTGTCTTTAACATTCATTGGTGTGAGACAGCAAACTCCGGAGCCACCATCCCAGTTAACTTTTGGAGACCCTTGAGTTCTGCACCCAGGCAGGAGCACCTGGATTGAAAAAGGACCTGGTCTTCAAAAAAAAAAAAAAGCTTATCAAAATCAACAGGGTATGTGGGTGTGGGTATGGGTGTGGGTGGGTGTGTGGGTGTTAAGAGTGTGGCATGAACCCAAAAGTGGAGAAAGCATAGAGGAGAATGTGTTAATTCTCTTTAGAAACCAACACTGGTTTAACAATAACTTCTGCCCTTGTGTATATAGTTCAGATTCAAACCAGCAGAATTTGTTTTAAGGAGTGAGTTTGGGTGCTGGAGAGACAACCTGAGTGGTTAAGAGCATTAGCAGCTCTTCCAGAGTTTCTGAGTTCAGTTCCCAGCAACTTACAAGGTGGCTCACAGCCATCTACAATGGGATCTAATGCCCTATTCTGGCATGCAGGCATACAGTTAGAGTGCCATATGCATAAATAAATAAATCTTTAAAAGTTAAAAAAAAAAGTGAGCATGATTAGAATACACAGATCTAGTCTAACCTCTG